TGGGAACAAAGGGCTTTTCAGGCATAAACTACCCCCTTAAATTTTCATCGCCGACTGAAAAAAAGGGGTTCGAAGGGGTCAGGAAAATCACAAGGGGGGCAAAACAAAGGATATGTTGTGGTAGTGGGGACCCTGGGTCCCCTGGATGGGAAATCCAGACAGGCGAATCGCAAAAGAGTGACGAGATAGAGGAAGAGGGGCCCAAAACTACAGGGATGGAGGGCGAGGGGGGAGGGGGGGAGGGAGGGAGGGAAGGGAGGGAGGTAGGGAGGTAAGTCCAGGCTGCAGAGGCTCTAGCATGCAGGGAGGCGACACGTGGCTCCTGCTGCGCGCTGATCCTCCCTCGCTCAGAGGCCCAATGGCTGTCCAGAGGACCGTTGACCAGTGGCTGTCAGCGTGACACGTGTCGCGCCAACGCGTCCCTAGACGCGACACGTGATCTGTGTGGATAATGTTGACGTCATCGATCGGTGGTGCTGACGAGGATCGAAGGGACGGGCGTCGTCCACCTGTCAAGCTGTGATATTTCCTGATGAGCGCTATATTTAGATTGCACTGGATAAGGTTTTATCTGGATAAGATAAGACTTATCTACAGATAAGATAAGTTTTATCTACAGACAAGATAAAATAAAATTTATATGTAGATAAGATAAGATTTATCCATAGATAAGATAAGACTTATATGCAGATAAGATAAGATTTATCCATAAATAAGATAAGATTTATATGTAGATAAGATTGGATAAGATGGACTAGCTATTCGTTTGTTCGGGGAGACGAGTAAAGGGTCGACTCGTCTCGTCTGAAGACAGATTGAATCAGTCAATCAATCAATCAATCAATCAACCAATCAATCAATCAATCAATCAAGCAGTGAACCATCAATCAACAGATCAGAGGCAGCAAGTGATCAAGAGATCAAGCGACCATGGCTTCGTCGACGGTCGTTGTGTCTTCAGCCATGGTCGCGGCGGAGAGCCAGACGCACAGCATTGGCTGTACCAAGGCACGTGGAGGTGTGCTTGGCACGTGTCACGTCTACAGAACACAGGCTACGACACTGAGCAACTCTACTTCTGCCTCCGGAATCGTCAGAGCTCGGGTTAGCCCTTCAGTCCCTACATTCCTACCCCCAGCCATGATCTCTCTCTCTCTCTCTCTCTCTCTCTCTCTCTCTCTCTCTCTCTCTCTCTCTCTCTCTCTCTCTCTCTCTCTCTCT